CTATACTATGACTTTTTTTCATGGTTTTGGACGACATACTATACTATGACTTTTTTTACATGGTTTTGGACGACGTGCTATACTATGACTTTTTTTCATGGTTTTGGATGACATACTATACTATGACTTTTTTTACATGGTTTTGGACGACATGCTATACTATGACTTTTTTTCATGGTTTTGGATGACATACTATACTATGACTTTTTTACATGGTTTTGGACGACATACTATACTATGACTTTTTTTCATGATTTTGGACGACATACTATACTATGACTTTTTTTCATGGTTTTGGACGACACACTATACTATGACTTTTTTTTCATGATTTTGGACGACACGCTATACTATGACTTTTTTTCATGATTTTGGAGGACATACTATACTATGACTTTTTTCATGGTTTTGGACGACATACTATGACTTTTTTTTCATGGTTTTGGACGACATGCTATACTATGACTTTTTTTCATGATTTTGGACGACATACTATACTATGACTTTCATTTCATGGTTTTATATGACATACTATACTATGATTTTTTTTCATGGTTTTGGACGACATACTATAATATGACTTGTTGTTATGAAAATTTAAAAAAGCAAATAAAAAAATAAGATTGACATTAACCTTCACATGTTAAAACCTGGACACATAAAAACATAATTGTGGGAATAGACACTACCAAAGTAAAGAAATGAAATGTGTACGTGAGCACGTTTCTCTCTGGGTTTCTGTTGCTTGTTAGTGACACTAATTGGCATTAAAGTGTCGTGTGTGGGTGTGGACGGTTATTCCCATCATGTACACTTAAGAGAGTCCAGAGCTTCATCGTCGTCACTGAAACTCAGAGTGACAGACAGCAGAGATAAGAGGCCATCAGGACTGATTCCTAGAAGAAACACTGGCACACAGTCTGTGCTATCACTCACACACATACACACCCTCCTTGTTGAGTTGTGTTTTATGACTTGTGAAGGAAGTGTGAAGTGTTAACTGATAACAGCTGTATCTACTGTACTTACTGGAACTGAGCTTGACTCTGTTGACTCTTACTCAGACACCGACGGTGCAGGAAATTAGTAATAACTGGATTTAAACAGCCTGCAGTACCAATACTTAATGGATAACTCCAGTTTGTTGCATGCATGTAGACCGTTAAATAAGACTGTTTTAAAGCAGTATTTAGTTTTTTTCCACTTGTCTTGTCTATTTCACATTATCATTTTGTTTTTGATGATGACAAATTTAATACATTGCTTCATATTTTTACCTTTAAAGGTTATCTAGCCTGTAGCCTCATTTTTGTCGTTCAAAAAAAAGGAGTCGTCTGTAAATATTTGTTTTTAAATGTCATATCATAAAAAAATGGGATAACTCAAAATTTTGGATTTCAACATTTTTACTTGAGTGGTTTTTGACTGTAGCACCAACCAAATGTTTTCAATAAGACTTTGCATTAAAACAGTGACTAGTTCATTGTCTATTTAATTTTAATTTATTGGCGAAAAATGTAATACATGGCATCATATTTTTTTGTTTTTTAAAAGTTTCTTGTCGTTTTAGTTATGAAAACAAAATTAACATTGCCACAGTTCATTTTGTGTTTAATTCTAATCGATTTAGATATAATATTTTACATGCTTGGATGTTGTTATAATAAATCATTATAAAGAATTTTGACACTTAAGTTTCGAAAATGTCATGACAGTGTATTTCAGAATTTGTAATTTCAGCATTTTTACTTGTTTTAGTTTCTAGTGGTTTGAGTTTTGTTTTTAATGATAAAATAGGTCTTCAATAGAACTGTACACTGGTGTCATATGGCATTGAGACACACTGATAGTCTTCTCACACAAGTAGCTCGATGACGGACCTACGTGTTGATCTCTTTGTTTGCAGGTGTGATGGCTGCGGCGCTGTGTTCCACACCGAGTGTCGTCAGAAAGCTCAGCCGTGTCCTCGCTGTGTTCGCCGAGAGCTCCACCACAAGAGGCCGTCATCCTTCTGGTCACCTGACGACGACAGCCCCGGGTGCTTTCACCTGCCGTTCCAGGACACCTGAGAGTCAGAAACACAAACGCAGTAACAGTCAGGGTGCTGCCCGGCCATGACGCTGGACAAAGTGCCTGTTCTTCTGATTCATGTGTGTCTACGGGACAAATTCTTTAACGGAGCTTGAAGCGTCGTCAGGTTTGTGTTTATGTGTGTGTACACCTACTAACACACACACACCTAAGCAAAACCCTCTTTGTCCTTCTGTAACGAGCAGGGAGAAAACCAACTGAAGAACTGCTGCACCGGACTGAACCACCTGTATTTTGTAGTCAAACATCACACGTCAAGGTCGTCCTCCGCCATCTTCATCCCTTTACCACCTCACTACCTTCACTTATTCCACATCACAGCTGATGAACTGGAGACATTCAGATTTAATTCTTACCAACGTCTTCCGGCACAAGTTTAGTGATGAAATGAATTTTCAGCCTCTCAAATGTGAAGATCTGCTGTTTTTCTTTTGTTCTTTAACCTGTTGGTCAAACAAATAAGTAAACTGAAAACATCTCTTTGCCTGTGGGAACAGGTGATCAAGTTTTTTGTCTTTGTTTACAGACTAAATGATTGATTAAAAAAAACCAACTGACTAATCTATGATACAGCCCAGCTTATGTTAAAGTTACTCCACCCAGAAGTGTTTCAGTGTATGACCCTGACACACTGTAGCATCTAAACATGGCTGTAAAAGGTTTGTAGTTTCCTTCTTCACAGAGAAAAACAGCTGCAGTCAACTTGAATTCATGTCATGTTATAATGGAGTCACATATTAAAGGGCAGGTCCAAATTTTTTCAAGTCTGTCGTAAAAGAATAAATGATGTGCTCTTGTGAGCTCCAAAACAGGTTTTGCTTTCTGTAGTATTTCCTTCTGTTCAGACAATTAAAAAGATCCCTTTCTAAATAGATTTCAGTGGAAGTTACTGTGAAGCTTCAGCAGACTGAGGCCCTGATCACACAGAAAGGGTTTTGCAGGTTACAAAAGGCGAGGTGCACTGAACACTTGCTGCGCCTTTTTATTGCCAGGCAACCGCGCCATCGCGTCCTTACACTAACCTTCCCGTGTAATCAATCCACCATTTTCTTATGTCACAGTAATTAGTATCCAGTTACTAAAATGTTGAGGCAGAGGGCACTTGCTGTAGCTCTGGTTGAGGGTGAGAGGCTGTCAGTAAATAGTTTGTTGGGCACAGGGAAACAGAGATCTGTGTGGGTACATGAGACCCAAAAAAGAGGGTGGATCATGGGGAGTACCACCAGTCGGTCCAGGAGCTTCTCCTCATTTCCAGGCATATTTTAGGATGACTCGGGGGCAGTTTGACAACCTGCTGTCTGTTGTCGGGCCGTATAGCTGCTACCACCAGTTTCTCCTCCATTGTTGACCACCACAGAAGGCCCGCCTCTCAAAACATCCGATTGGACAATGGGAAAAAAGATGACGAAAAAAGAGGTGACATAGGGCGCTTTTCCGCTGTGTTGAAATTTTTCAGCTTGAGGAGGTGAATTATAGGTCTTCAATAAATAGGTGCCTGGAGTGCAGATACATGAGGTGCGTAGTAAGCAAAGTGAGTAAGTGAGCAAAAAGGTTAATTTTCATTAAAAACAATCACAAAAAGCTGCCTCCAACTAGACTCACAAGTCAGTGTGAGTCAGTTTAGATGCTTTGCTTAACTAAAGACTGATGTCTTTCTCCCTGGTTTTGTGTTTAGATGGGCGGATACAATTTCAGAGTTTAAAAAAACTCCCTACGTTGCAGAACCAATAGTAAATCTGCAGGGTGGTCCTTCGGTGTCTCGCTGAACTCTTGTGCTTGTAAACATATTCCGACTGCGTTAAATGTTTTAAACAAAGTCTCTGTAAGTCCTTCATTTCCACAATCTTGTGGACTGAGCACACGTTTGATAAAACAGTTAAATCTCTCGGCATCCATTTTCAAGCTCTCTGTGTGTTTGTTTCCTTGCGGACGAGTAAAGGTGGAGCGCACATTTCCGGGAGGGCGTGTCCTTTTCAAAAATGCAAGAGACGTTGCTTTGTTGCCGGCCATTTTCTCCGGTGTGTTAAACACACTTCAGAAAGGAGTGTCCCTAGACTATCAGAAGGCGGAGATCTCTGATTGTCTGGTGGCGAGACTAGCCTCCGACTGCTAAAACACTTTCTGTGTGTTGGGAGCCATAGTCAAATAGTTGGTATATTCCAAAGTGATGGTCTGTTAAATACAAAATGTCCTCTTTGTGTCACTGCTCCTCTGCTTCAGATCAACAAGGAACCCGCTAGGGAATTAAAAAAGAAGTAAACTTTTGTACTAAAAACACCATAACTTTAGAATATTTCCACTTGATCTGACTCAGACAGCTGAAGCCTCATATAAACTTCAGAACGAGGACTGTGGATTTTGTCCAATCTGAAAAACTTTTATTTTAATGCCCAGTATGAACAGGAGGAATCATGTATGTGTGGGTTTTAAGACAGACTTGAATAAGTATGCACCTGCCTTTGACGTAGAGGAAAACAGAACATCAGAATCTTTTCAAACCAATCCTGCAGTACAATCCACCATTTCACCATCTGCCTGTATGAACTGTGCGTTCCAAACATACCATTATATTAGCATAATATTGCTAAATATGCAAGTTTGCAAGTTCCAGGTCTTTAAATGGGAGAATTCTTTTGCCCATGTAATGCATTGATTTCAGACAAAAAGGTATTTGCCTTGTTTTCCTGAATTAACAAGAAAAAAAATATCTTTCTAAATTAAAAAATATCTTGTTAATTTAGAAAAAAAAGTATTTTTTTTCCATGATAACATTTGTCAGAGTTGTGAGATAATAATCTCGGTAATTCACTAAAACAATACAATTTTTTTTCTGTATTCTTCTTCTTAGACTTTTGGTTAGACAAAAAAAATTACCAATAATTTTGAAGATGTTGCCCTAAACTTGAGGAAATTGTGAGGAATTTATGTATTTATAAAGAAAATTAATTGATAACATAAATCATAAAACCACAGTTAAATAATATTTAGTGCTCATTTTTCCAAAACTGACATCACCTCTTTCTGTACAACATTACCTTGTGTCTTAAGTTGTATTTTAGAGAGTGTTTGGAACAAATGGATCCACAGTGGGGAGGTGTTTCATACTGCAGGGATGGTTTCATAAGCTTCTATGGACGTTTTGTATACAGTACAAAAGTTTTACAGTCATATTTGAGTCTTCGGGAGAGTATTTGATTAGACTTGGGTTTACTTGGAAAATAACTGGAGCCATTCTTGTGGTGTTTTACAAATAATCATAATAATAAGATAATAAACTCAATGATGGCTGTGATTGACGTATAGAAACCCCTCTTTATCTTATCTCCTTTTCCCTGAACTTGTAGACGTGGACTGAACGATGTTTGAACTCATTTTAAATCAATGTTCTTTTAATGTAAAAGACTTTAACTTGAACGAGACTCTGTCGGTCTGTCTGAGCACATTTTCTTCCCTCCATCAGTCGAACTGTAAAATAACAGAGGCAATAATCTACTGTAACTTCTTCTTTCATTGTTGCCTTTTCCCTCTCCTCTTCCTCCTCCTGTGATTCTACTTCCTGTCGTGCTTTATCCATGCAGAATCTATCGAACATGATAGCAGCTTTAGCTTTTAGTATCTCTATGCAACCTAGATGGCCTTTATGACTCACTGCTTTCATGTGTAAAGGTCTGGAAATGCTTTATGTTTACATTTTCACCGCAGAGCCGGCTGCGTTTCCATCCAGGCTAAGTTTACTGAAACATTGGGAAAATAAATATTAGTAAGGTTTGTTTCTGTCAGCTGGCTGTAGCTGATAAATCCTGAGTGTCCAAACATAAAATTTACATGGAAAATGAAACAGAAAAAAAAAGATTTTATAAATTTCGTCAATTTCTTTTCTGAATCAATTCATGTTTTGGGCTTTGTTTAAAGTTTTTGGTGAGTTTCCAAAACTTTTGACGAGGCTAATCCCACTACGTTAATTTTTATTGTCAGATACATTTATCTTTCCTAAACAACCCAGTCTCACTCCGAAGGCGCTGAAAACGTACCAAACCGAACTGTACCTTAGCGTAGTGCTTGGTGGCGTAACAGAGCTGTCAGTCAAAGAGCCCGGTCTCACTCTGAAGTCATCGAAATCCAGCGCTTGGGCAGTGTCTTGCGGCGTCTGAAACAAACAAAAAAATAAGCCGTCCTTTAACGTCAGTATGATACGTGGCCGGTTGTGTTACAGTTTAACGGCGCTTAGTGGTGTCAGGGGGAAATTGGCGGGATAAGAACGAAAGTTAAGGTGGCGAAACTTTTTGGATGGGTGGGAGAGGTGGCGGATAGGTCCAACAAACACGGACTTTCACCCGGGAGAGTGGTGTTTGTGTCCCAGATTTTAGACCCTGATCTATTTTCCTAAACCTAACCATATGCGTTTGTTGTTGGAGGAAACCGTCAATCGCGTTGTTGCACTGACGTTAGAGATGTTCCTGGCGACTAATTTCCCTGTTGACTAAACAAAAATTTTAATTAAGACTAGGCGACTAGTCTAAAAAAAGGAAAACACTCAGAAAACGGTCAACATTTAGCACAATGTGTCTAACTTGTGGTGCTTTAAAGACACCAGAATCTGTAATAACCTGGATGGAAACGTAGCTGCTGTTTCTTCCTGCTTCCTGTTTCCTTTCCTCAGTGCTGATTTTACCTCATCTTCTCTTTTACGTCTCGTCTCTCTGCTCCTCGTCCTCATTTCTCCAGCTTGTTTGAGCCATAAACACACGTTAACCTTGAAGGGAAATAAGTTGCTGCGCTCAGCAGTGAGTTTATTCGTGAATATGTATTTTTGTGAGCAGACTGAGTTGTTCATGTTTATGAAGCATGTCAGATACTGTAGACTAAAACTAAATAACCCAGTGTAGTTAAAAATATGTCAGGAAATGTGCACTGATGTGTCGATGACATTTCTGTTGTTTGTGTTTTGTTTCGAGGGTCACACAGGATATTACAACAATAAATGTTTAAGTTATTAGTGACTGCTGCATATTGTTGTGAAGCCTTTGGTTGAAGTATTTTTGAATCTGTTTTTTGACTGTGTGAAGTTTTATTTTTTTATCTGGTTTTTTGTTTGTTTTTGTAAATCATGCTGTTGATTTGTGTCCATGGAGCCCTGCAGGTTTTAAAGGATCTTTATTTTTTAATGTGTGCACACAGATTATAGCACTCCTGGCAAAGTGTTTCAGGCAGCAGGGTGTATACTGGTTAAATTCAAGACTTTAAGACCAGTTTGATGCAACTTTAAATAAAATTTAAGACCAAACTTGCGATAGAATACACGCCAAAAGTAAAAATATACTCCACATTGATGTCAGTTCAAAATGAACAGTAAGGTAAAACGATGCTGATGATTTCAACACAAATCACTATTAAGAATTTCAGGTATGCACGTAGACCCTAATTAGAGCGTGTTAAGCTAATTTGTCTGTAATTATTTGGCTCACAACTAACTGAGGAAAATCACATACCGGACTGTAACGTACTGAACCAAACTGTTCGGGACAAATAGTTCCTGTTGTTATAGAACATTTGATGCTTACTGGAGAGCGTTATTTACTGATGTGTGCACACAAATTAAAACATAAAGACCCCACTACCTGCTGGGCTCTGTGGTGTGTGTATGTAGCCACAGTAGCCGACTCGTGCATCTGATCACTTTAAAACTTTAATTTATTTGCTTGTTTTATGCAGTTTGTTCATTCATACATAAGAAGTGTACGTTTGTGTTTAGTTCAGTTTTTTTTCTACAGTTTTGCCAATTTTCATTTCTGGATTTGGAAACATAAATAAGAACATGTTGACGACCCTGTCATGAATGATGTTTACCTGTTATCATGACCCTGTAGTGACGAGTACACTGATCGGTATTTACAGGACTGAGAGTGTTCTTTATGTTGCGACACATTTCCATCAGCGCAGTATGTTTTACTTGATGTGTTTGGAGAAGAATATATTGTACAGTATTTAAGAAGAAGAACTGGACTCAACTTCTTCTCTCTTTTTGCACTTTTAAGTTACTTTTCTTGTTTTAAATCATTGTTGTTGTTTTTTTTCACCGCAGCCAAACCTCTTATGCAAATACAGGGAGTTGATTTTCTGATTT